AGCTCTGGTTTGTAACCTCTAGCTTACTGGGAGCAAGCCCAATCACATTTTCTCTCATTTTTTTTGTGTCCTCAATCTTGCCTAGGGCTTCCCTGGTGGCTCAGTGGTAAAGAATTTGCCTTCCAGTGGGCGAGACGCAGGTTCATTCCCTGGGTCCGAAAGATCTCCTGGAGGAGGAAATGGTAACTTACTCCAGTATTCTTGCCTGGAGAGTCCCATGGACAGAGGAGCCTGGTGGGCTACAGTCCATGGGGTCAGAAAAGATTCAGACACGACTGAGCGCGCGCGCGCGCGCACACACACACACACACACACACACACACACACACAGCGCTTGCCTACTGGCCTGCTGGTCCTCTCTGCTGACCCCTACTGGACACCACACAGTCCATGGGGTCAGAAAAGATTCAGACACGACTGAGCGCGTGCACACACACACACACACACACACACACACACACGCGCGCGCGCGCGCACACACACACACACACACACACACACACACACAGCGCTTGCCTACTGGCCTGCTGGTCCTCTCTGCTGACCCCTACTGGACACCACACAGTCCATGGGGTCAGAAAAGATTCAGACACGACTGAGCGCGTGCACACACACACACACACACACACACACACACACACGCGCGCGCGCGCACACACACACACACACACACACACAGCGCTTGCCTACTGGCCTGCTGGTCCTCTCTGCTGACCCCTACTGGACACCACACAACAGCGCCAGTCGTCCCTTGGGCGGTTGAGGAAGGGCTTTCGTAAAGCCTGTGGGGGATGAAACTCCGCGGGAACCAGCTCCTTAAAAGGCCCTCCCCCTGCCCTGTTGCATCACACCCTCAAGCGTCCAGCAGTAGCTGCCCACAGGTCTCACCAGCTGCAGAAACTCCGAGTCTCTGGAAAGCAAACACCAAAGTTCACAGGGTCTGGCATTCAAATCCTTCTCTTCCAGTTTTGACCCAACCCCCAGATTAGTCGCCTAAACAACAATGCAGCAAAACTGGTTTGATGAGTGATTTTCAGGTTTCGATTTATTTTCTCTCCTGATAGCTGTCCTCATGTAGATGAAAAGTGAAAGTGTTAGTCGTTCAGCCTGACTTTTTGTGACCCCATGGTCTGTAGGCCACCAGGCTCCTCTGTCCATGGGATTCAGGCAAGAACACTGGAGTTGGTTGCCATGCCCTCCTCCAGGTGATCTTCCTGACCCAGGGATCGAACCCACATCCTGCATTGACAGGCAGGCTCTTTACCACTAGTGCCACTGGGGACTTTGAAATCACACAGTTGGAATCCCAGCAACACCACTTCCTGTGCATTGAAGAGTCACTTAGTCTTGCTGAATTTCCTTCTGTCTGACATGGACTAGGGGCTGGGCAGAGGGTTGAATGACAGGATTTGTGAATGGCACCTTGACTGGTGCTGCACTTGGCTCTCAACAAGGGGGGTTTATTTACTTAACTGACACTCATAGAAGCCTTACTATGTGTCAGACTCTATTCCACTTGCTTTGCAAATATTAACCCACTAGTTCTCAGGGCAGTCTTTTGAAGAAGTACTCTTTATTATATCTGGGTGGAATGCAGTGATTTCTAAAGTCCTTTCTAACTCTGAGAGTCTATGACCCGGATCCTGTCACAGTGATGCTAATAACAGATCCAGTCAGCCAGCTCTTTGTGTCTGGAACTGATGCTTGAGGGACTGCCTGATTATATTAAGTCTCAGTTCTCCTGATCCTAGGGGTCAGCATTTAGATGGATGTACCCCTCAAGTCTCACCCAACTCAGTGTCATTTTCTCCCTTACAGACATGTCCACTAACAAACTTTTCCAGTATCTTCGAAAGTATACTCTGCCTGCCTGGAAAATGTTGTCCTTTCCCTCTCCTCTTCCTCCTCCTCTTTCTCTGCTCATAATTAATTACTACCATGTATTTAACACTTATCTATACCAAGATCCATGTTAAACTCCACTAATGTATGTGTAATACATGCACATATCTACATACACACCTGTTGGAGCAGGAGAGTAACAGGAGCTAGTCGTGTTTTGGTAAATTCTTAACTATAGGCCAGTCTGATTGCATTCAGGACCTTGCTTGTTTGCATAGCTGCTTTAACGTGCCTGGGATCTACTCCTGTCCCCAAAGATCCCCTCCCTCCCTGCCTGGGAGCCCCTGCTCCAGCTAAGTAAATAGCAGAACTCTGGTTTCCCATGACAACAACTTTCTCGTTATTTAAAAGAAAGAAAAAGTGCTTTGTAATGAAAGGTGCTCAAAACAAGTTTGAGGTAAAAGACAAGGTGATCAGAAGATAGGAAATGAACATGGCATCTAAAGAACTGCATAAAGCCGTGAGAGAACAGGTCAGTGCAAGCTGGTAATTATGTGTTAAGACTGAAGCATTTATTTCTCACAAGTTAACATTTTGCATGATGAATCTTCTGTGAGTAAATGCATGGGTTCTTTTTTGTTCTTATAGATTGTTTTTTTTTAAACCACAAACATGGCCTAGAAGAAAGGAGGAGTAAAAAGGAGAATCGTTTCTTCATTATTGACTTAATTATTCAGTCGTCATGGATTCCATTTTTATTTTGGCTAGTTTGGGGTCCCCAAGTATAGGAAGCATTTGAAAGACTATAAAAACAAACAAATTGATAAAAGATTCTTATAAAAAGTGAGCTCTGCTGAAAGATTTAAGATGGCTATTTGCTCAGGGGAAAAAAATGGGAATTTACCAGTCAGTGCCTTTCGTTATAGGCCAGGTTATTATAAACAATAGTGGTCAGTATTTTTCTTTGCCAAGAGAAAAAAAGGAGTAGGTTTTAGCTATAGCCAGAAATGTGGAGAGGCTATAATGGAACACCATTCCAGAATTGCTAAGCATCCGTGTGACTGCAGTGTTACCACAGGGCGTGACTCTGAGGTAAGGACCTGCTCACGCTGCTTTCTGTTATCTCATTACCCACCTCACCCACACACCCTCAGTCTCAGCTCCAGGGGGACAGATAGTTGGAGCCACTCCTGCCAAATGCCTGGTGAGCCCTGCCGGCAGCCTCTGCTGAGTACGGAATTTAACTCTCAGCAGTGCACCTCCCAGGCGTGGCCGGGGCAGAGCGCAGGGCAGTGAGGTCAGCATCGGGAGACCTGGCTGGAGGGTCCTACTCCTCAATCTGCCTCCTGGGATCAGTCAAATGAACAGGTTGATCTTAATTGTAGCGGTTTTCAAATTTCAGTGCAGATGAAAATTTTGACAATTATTGGATTGTTTATTTTTGAGAGGGTGCTTGCTTAAATTCCAGCTTTCGAGCCCCTTCCCTGACTTTCCAGGTGGTGCAGTGGTTAACAATTCATCTGCCAATGCATAAGATTGGGTTCGATCCCTGGGTCGAGAAGATCCCCTGGAGGAGGAAATGGCAACCTACTCCAGTATTCTTGCCTGGAGAGTCCCAATGGACAGAGGAGCCTGATGGGCTAGAGTCCATGGGGTCAGAGAAAGAGTTGGACATGACTGAGCACACACATACATCCGATTCCCCACATAAAATTTTATTTTTTATTTTTACATGGAGTGGAGCACAGAACCCAAAGTTATGTTTATTAATAAACACCTGATATGAATAACCCTTGGGCTAGTCTATTAGCTTGGGAGGGCTGCCATAACAAAATACCACAGACTAGGTGGCTTAAGCAACAGATATCAGTTTTTTTGCAGTTCTGCTAGGTAGCAGTCCAAGATAAGTGATTGACAGGCTTGGCTTCTCCAGAAACCTCCTCCCTTGGCTTGCAAATGGCAGCTTCTTGCTATTTGTTCACAAGGTCTTTTTTCTGGTGTCTAGGGGCTCAACATATGAATTCGGGTAGGGGAAAAAATTTTGGCCCCTAACAGCTAGATAATCTCTAAAATTCTGACTGATGAAAGCAAGGTCATACCTCTCTCCAGGCTCAAATTCTTTATTTAAAAAATACTTATTATTTGTTTATTTGGTTGCACTGGGTCTTGGTTTCGGCACATGGGATCTTTAACTTCGGTATGGGGATCTAGTTCCCTGACCAGGGATTGAACCTGGATCCCTGCATTGGGACTGCAGAAAAGTAGCCACTGGACTGCCTGGAAAGAGATTAGCAGGAAAGTCCCTCAGCTTCCTTTTTGAGACTTCCTGTAGCACTATGGTGGAATAGCGAGACTTATGCTTACAGTCTCTCCACTTCTGCAGCAGGGTTTCCAGTCCTACTTTGGTGACATCTGGCCTTACTCTCCTGGCCCTAACTGCTGCTACCACCCTATCTAAGGTCCCCGCCCTCCTACACTGATTTGAGGTCTGGTATTGATTTATTTATCTGCTTCCTCATTTCCTGTCTTTCTCCCCTGCTAGACTGTAAATTCCATAGGTCAGCCTAGCACCACACACAGTGCCTAGCGTACAGTAGGCACTCATTAAATACTGATGCATGAATCAATGATTGAACAACTGAGCTGAGGTGAGACCTTAAGGTCCAGTCCAACCACAGAATCACCTTGTCTTCTTTATCCTTTCACTTGGACAACGTTGAAGAGACTTCGCCCGAGCCAGAGGCAATAAAATCTGTGGAATGCTGTCCGCCATGATATCTTCACGGAGGCCTGGGAGAGGTGAAATTCATGCTCACTTACCATCCTACTAATGTCTTAGTCACCAAAGTGTTAACAGTGCCCTGAACCTATTGTCCCCGGACCGCACGACCCTGAGACAGGTCAGGGACGGAGGGGGGCAGCTCGTCAGCCAAGAGCAAGCGTCACCCACCACCCACCTCGTCAAAAGCCCCGCGCGGATCTGGAGTCTGCGGGTGACACGGGCTGGGACCTGGGACTGCTGCCAAAGTAAGGGTGCTTGCACCTGGACAAAGTCTCCTCCAGCGACCAAACACAGAGAAAATGTAAGGACCTAAAAATAACTGCATGCCTGCACAGCTGGGGCAGTTAGGAGCAACAGGACACCAAAGGCCACAAACCAATGGCCGTTCCTGAGGTGCCGGCAGCAAAAGCGGGTACTGCGCATGCTCCCTGCACACACACCACCAGGGGGTGGGCAGACCCCCTAAGCTACACCTCTTGCCCCACCCACCGACCCACCCCTGTCCTCACCCCAGTTAAAGAGACAGGGGGACCTAGAGACTGTCAGGCTGAGAGAAGTAAGTCAGAGAGAGGACAGACGTTATATGACACCCCTTGCATGCGGAATCTAGAAAGACATGATACCAAAGAACTTATTTACGAACAGAAAGAGACTCACAGACTTGGAGAAGGAACTTATGGCTGCTTGGGGCCTTGGCGGGGAGAATAGGGGGATGAGACAGGAAGTTTGGGATTGACATGTAACTCTTCTACATTTAAAATGGATATTGACAAGGTATCCTACCGTATAGCACAAGGAACTCTGCTCCATGTTACGTGGCAGCCTAGTTGGGAGGGGAGTTTGGGGGAGAATGGATACAAACGTGTGTATGGTGGAGGCCCTTTGTGGTCTATCACAACATTGTTAATCAGCTATACTCCAATACAAAATAAAAAGTTAAAAATAAAAAGGAACCAGCTCCCCTCTGGCCCCAGCTGGATAGAGAACAAGAACACCTGCTTCTTGTTTTCATCCCCTTGTGCTGCGGCCAGACCCCAGGAAGGCCTCATTAACATCTATTGATTAAAGAGTTTTTAAGAGCCTGGGGGTAGTAACACACATGGCCCACAACTGGCCTCTGGATATGACCATCCGTCTTCCTGCAGCTGGCCAAAAGCTCTTTTTTATAAACATCAGTCCTGAGACATTTGCCAGGAAAACAGTTAAGCTTTTTATTGCCTGTCATTCTTTTAGACTGATGGAGAGATGCTGGACTGTGTCAACAAAGCAACACTATTAATGCAATAAGACCAATTAAAAATGAAAAAACAAATATATCAGCAATAGTTTAAAGAAGACAGTCTCAGCTCACTGAAGACAGGTGAATTTTAATCTCAGATTGGGTTGGATCTACATAAACGAAAGTGGGATTATATCTTTGGGCTACAGGGAGGCAATATTTTTAGATAGTGCTCATGTGTATTTTCACCAAAGGCCTCACCCCAGATTGAGTTGATTGCTTTTTCCTTATACTTACTAAACTTGTGAGCATATATTTCTTTCTATGCCTGTTTCCTCTTCTATACCAGTGGTTCCTGGAGAACAAGAATCACATCTTATTTATTTCTGCATCTCCTGTACCTGCTGTTGCTAAGTAGCTTCAGTCGTGTCCGACTCTGCGACCCCATAGACAGCAGCCCACCAGGCTCCGCCTTCCCTGGGATTCTCCAGGCAAGAACACTGAAGTGGGTTGCTACTTGGCCTCAAATATTGGATGAATAACTTAACAAGGAGATTTAAATATTGACTAGTAGGTACTGCCAAAATGTTTTATGGCAGATTAGTCAGAGACATACTAATTACTGTCATAATCATTCCAATATATCCCACTCTCAATAATTTTATTTACAGAATTAAAAAAAAAATCCCACTGGTTTTAGCCTAAGGCTAAAATTTCTTAGAATGGACCATACCATGCATGTTTGGGGGAGGAAAGAAGCCAGAATAAAGATGTATGCATGGCCCACCTCTGGGAATGTAAAGTGATTTTCAAATTATCCCACATCAGACAGAATCAGAAAAGGAAATGTATTGGGACTTCTTTGGCAGTCCAGTAGTTAAGAATCCACCTGCCAATGCAGGGGACATAGGTTCAGTCCCCGGTCTGGGAAGACCCCACATGACGCAGGGCAACTAAGACTGAGCACCACAACTCCGAGGCCCATGCTCTAGAGCCAGGGGGCCGCAACTGCTGAAGCCTTCACGCCCTAGAGTCCACGCTCTGCAACAACAGAAGGCCCTACGGTGAGGGGCCCACGCACTGCTCCTTGAGAGCAGCCCCTGCTCACCGCAGCTGGAGAAAGCCTGTGCACAGCAGCAGAGACTCAGTGCAGCCAAAAGTAAATGAATTAACTTTAAAAGAAGTAAATGTCTTAGAGGGGAGTCAAACACCTGGAAGTGAAGTGAAGTGAAAGTGAAAGGCGCTCAGTCGTGTCCGACTCTTTGTGACCCCACGGACTATACAGTCCATGGAATTCTCCAGGCCAGAACACTGGAGTGGGTAGCCTTTCCCTTCTCCAGGGGACCTTCCCAACCCAGGGATCAAACCCGGGTCTCCCGCATTGCAGGCGGATCCTTTACCAGCTGAGCCACAAGGGCAGACCCTAAATACCTGGAACACAATGCAAAGCATTAAAAAAATCATCATGTGCTCCAAATTATACACGTTATTGCGCCACTCAATAATGTACATAATGGTAAATTAGCTCTAATTATTAATATCAATAGCCTCATTCACTGAGAAATCAGTTTATAATAAAGAGCTGTTTGGCGTCTAAGCTCCCAAGGCCATAGCCAAGCACCTGCCAGAGAGGCAGTCACGGGGGATCCCAGCTAATTGTCTCCTAATTCTGCCCTCTCCCTGAGGAAGAGCCACGTGTACGCTCCACATTTAATGAGGTCAGGAAGACACCATCCGTGCCTCCCTCACTGTTTGAGGGTCCTTTCCACAGGGAGACTGTCCTGGGTTGGCACCAAGGACCACTCAGCAGGTAACATAGCTCCGTAAGAAGCTTTTAGAGCTGCACAGAAATTTCCTTCGTGAGCTAATCTTTCTCGTTGTGCTCCCAATCAAACTGATTTTTTTCCCCACGTAGCTTGGGGATATGTTATGAAAAAGCCAAGAAGCATCCTTAAGTTTAATAATACTTTAAAAAATTATGGTGAAATACATATGAAATGTAACATTTTAACCATTTAAAAGTGTTTTATTTAAAACAGTTTAAAACATTTAAAACAGTTTAGTGGCACTTACTTCATCCACAATACTGGGCAAACAGCACCACTACCCAGGTCCAGGAAACTTTCATCTCCCCAAAGGGAACCTCCCCCACTTTAAGTAGTCTGTCCCCATTCCCTCTTCCCACTGCCCCCTGGAAACCACTAACCTGCTTGTTATCACTATGGGTTTGCCTGTTCTGAATATTTATTATTCAGTCTGTGACCTTTTTTAAAGAGCTGCCTTCACTTAGCTAGGTGCATCCACTTTGTGGCATGTGTTAATACCTCACTCTTTTTTATGACTGAATAGTGTTCCACTCTATCACACTGTTCTTTAGTTGATGAACACTGGGTTGTTCCCATCAACCAACCTTTTTTTTTTCTTTTTAAAAATTTAAAATTTTTATACAATTTTTAAAGTTTACTTTCCATTTATAAAATATTGCTATATTCCCTGTTCACCAACCAAACCTTTTAAGGCTAGCCCCTATGTATCATCTCCACTTCCTTAACCTAGTGGGGTCTGGCTTGGCCTTAACCAGAATAACAGCTAGTATTGACTACAGCCAATGGTGATGGAGAGCTTGCCCTGCTCTGGGTACTGTGCACAGCAGTGTATGAGTATAACCCCACCTAATCCTCATGGGGCAAAAGCTTGTGCAGGTTCGCCTTACAGCAGACAGCCCAGCAGAGGGGCTGGGAACTGAAAACCAGCCCAGGTTCCGTTGGCTGTGTCTGCCCGGAGGGAGAGGCCCTGGTCGCCCCAGTGTGCACAGAGGCAACTCTGTCACCAACACTTTGGGTAAATATTGTCTTTATTCCTGGAGAAGGAAATGGAAACCCACTCCAATACCCTTGCCTGGAAAATTCCATAGACTGAGGAGCCTGGCAGGCTACAGTCCATGGGGTCAAAAAGAGTCAGACACAACTGAGCAACTTAACTTTCTTTTTTCTAACTATCCTTATTCTCAAACTATACTTAAAGTGTGTTGTGTTAGTTGCTCAGTCGGGTCTGACTCTTTTTGACCCCATGGACTGTAGCCCACAGGCTCCTCTGTCCATGGGATTTCCCAAGCAAGAATACTGGAGTGGGCTGCCATTTCCTTCTCCAATCTACACTTAAGGAAAGGGAAAATTTGAGAGTCTCCATAATAGTTAAGATTATACAAATATCTAACAAAGAGGAAGACACCAGGGCTTAAACCCAGACACAGATGAGTTTATATCCTCAGCCTTGTACCATGTACAAGGATAACATTGGGAAGAACTTCTGTGGTCTCCCTCTTTCAAGATTTTCTTCCATCATAATCCAAAGCAAAAATTATATCTTACATTGTTACCCATTACCTAATCACATATATAATGAAATAAGTTTCATGAAACTGTGCTTAAGCTCAGTACCTGCAATGTACTTTTCTAATCTATTTCATTAAAAGAAATACTGGTGCAGCTCCACTAAACTGACTTTTGACAGGTTGTCATCCACAGTTTCAAAACGACGGCTGAAAACCAACCATTCATTTTTCAGTTTTTTTTTACTTGAACTCTAGGTGATATTTAATGAAATTCCCCCTATTTTGGGATCCCTCTCTCGCAGGCTTGAGAATGCTATTTCCAGCTCTCTCTGCACTGCTCCCTTTATCTTATTTGATGCCTTCTCTACTTCCCCAGTCTCTCAAGGTGTATAACTAACTCGTAACCAAAAGACAGAACAGGTGCTTTATATTTTTTAACTTAAAAGAGTTTATTGATTTATTCACTTTATTTTCTGTCTGTTGTGGGTCTTTGTTGCCTGACATGGGCTTTCTCTAGCTGTGTGGCTGCTCTCGCTGGGGAGTGCAGGCTGGAGGCGCACAGGCCTCAGTAGCCGCTGTGCAGGGGATCAGCAGTGGCGGCTCGCCGGCTCTGGGGCACAGGTTTAATAGTTGCAGCCGCAGGCTTAGTCATAGCTCCACGACTTATGAAATCTTCCTGGGCCAGGGATCAAACCAGCGTCCCTCGCACTACAAGGAGGATTCTTAACCGCTGGACCACCAGGAAAGCCCCCAGAACAGATGCTTTAAAAAGAATATATCCCAATGGACAAGCGCATGAAAACATTGCTCAACATCATCAGTCATCAAATAAATGAAAATTAAAACCACCATAAAATACCATTATATACC